GGGGGGGGGGGGTAGGGATGGAAAGCTGGTGGCATCATCTCTCACCCTGCCTTTAGTTTGCCAAGGACCAGCCGGCGAAGGTTCTAGTCAATATTAGTCTCTACCAGTAGTCACATGACCAGCGAAGCGACAAGAACAAAACTCAGGCAAAAAACAATCGATACGAACGAAAGCGCAGGCCGCGCCGGATCGGAGGCTGTTGCTACCACGAATGCAAGGCAGCACCCCCCATCGATCGATTGTTTCTACCTCCGACAGCGTCGTCGCCGTCGTCTTCATCAACGCAGGAAGCTGCTAAATACAACATTAGCTGCAACAAGCAAGCTCACAGTATGCAGCTGCTGATTCTTTTGTGTCTCTCGTGCTGCTGGTGGTCTCTCGGGAGCACCTGCCGCCCCCCCGCGTCCGTCTGCGTCATGTCCACCAGCTCTTCGAGGGAAGGGGGCAACCTGTGAGTCTCGGACGGGACGTTGGTGTGTGCGGGGACCAGCAGGGTCACAGATAACAACAAGAGCAGGGCTATGCAGACCGGAGCTGTTCAGGACGGGCGGTGTAGCCTGCACGTGCACCACGAAAGGTTGCGGATGGTGACATGCCGCAGCACGCAAGGACCTTATGTACGAACGAAGGCCATGCTGATGGTTGACCGGGTGACGTGGAAAGGCGACGCGCATCTCCCATATCCTCCATACACGGGCGTTTCCTTGCTGACTTGACGTCATTGTTAACTGTCATTGTTGACTAAAAGCCTCAGCATCGATTGAAGGGCCACAAAACGGCTTCTCTCAAGGACTTGTCCTCGTGGGCAGGCCCCTCGCTGCCGCTGTTTTGATGTTGATTGAATGCCGTCAAGGTTTCGTAGACAAAGGGTCACGCAGCCGCATGATTGTTGACAACTGAAAATAACACGGCGCGTCCATCTTGGTGGTTTGTCAGTGGATCGACCACAAACGCGGCAGCATCAGGGATAACGACGTATGTGTTCCCGGGCCTTCGTCTCCGCCTGCCCTAGCTTCGCACCCTATACTCCCGCTGCCTGTCGCCATGCTGCGTGAAACGAAAGCGTCCAAGTGAACACACACATACACAACAAAAAATAGCGAACACATGTTTCCGGCAAGCAAGCGGGAACGTTAGGTACGATTTGGCAAGGGCTGCTTTGGTGCCGACAATGCAGCTGTCGCTGTCCGTTCACCTGCTGTAGCAGCTCCTGTACACCCGACCGTCGAGCCTGTGCGAGATACCAGGGACCCCTCTTGCTCTTCGCCCCTCCGGCGCCCTGACACAAAAGGTTGAACGGTGAAGAACAGGTCTAGTCTCTAGGATTAAGGGTTCAAAGTCCGGGGTGTGGTGCGGTCGCCGCTCGATGGCACCCCTTCTGGTTGCCCTCAGGCAGGGGAAACTGTGTCTTTGGAAATTTGGTGGGAAGGGGAGGGGGTACCGGCGGTTTCCCGGGTGGGTGGGATCCTTGCCATTTCGATGCCTCCCGCCACGGCTCCCTGTATTTTACTCCACACACAAGGATAGCGCACCGCCGTGCCGAGCGAGCAAACGAACTGACTTCCGAGACTAATCCAAAGCAGCGCGCCAGAGAGACATCGAGGACACAACCGTCCGAGATCGGACGCGACACACCAAAAGAAGCCGACACCAGGGACGCCGAGAATGAACAGTACACAGACTTAGCGAGCGCACAGACTAACAACCAACACTTTTGACCGGGTGAAAAACAGCAATGCTGTGGCGCACTGCTGTGCGTAGTGTTGGGAGTCGTCGCTGCCGCACAACACATCGTTAGAGCGCGAAAAAAATCATCAGAAACATGAGAGAAAAAAATACAAAACGCGCCCTCAACCTACACTGCTCCGCAAATACTGGGGCAACACGAACGGATGCCCTTCCATCGCACTCAACACTATCATGGGCGGTGCAGGAACCCCCTCGCCGATCACAGAAAACGCCACATACCCACTCCCACCTCGTAGCCCCTCCGATCTGCAGCAGGTTGTCCCGCTCCTTGCCGCTGCCGACAACCGCCCCTGCCCCCCGCCTGCCGCCCTCCCCAGCCCCCCTCAAGTCCTCCAGGTCTTCCTCCGCTACCAGCGCCGCCGTCGCCTCGGCGGCCTCCCGCCGGACGCGGCGAGCCTCATTCTCGCCGGCCCTCGCGGCCGCAGCGGCTCGGGCGGCCGCCTCCTTTATCGCCAGGGCCTCGGTGGCCTTGAAAGACTCGCTCCTTCGGCGGGGGGGGGACGTGTCGTACAGCCCCGGGGTTTCCACCCCGAGGAGGATGCACCAGTGCCGCATCCGGAAGTAGTAGCTGTGGGGGGGGTTGGGAGGCGGAGATGAAAAGGTTTGTTGGCCACGCAAAAGACAAAGGGGGGAGAGAGGCGAAGACACATTTGAACGGTTTTCGTTTTGTTTCTGTGTGCCGTGTTTCGCTTATTGAGCATGGACGCGACAGGCACCGACTGCTACGGCCGAAAAAAAGTCATTCACCACTTCGTCGAAAAAAGAACATGATGTCAAACCAAACACAGCAGTGGCGGTCCGCCGACAAGGGTGCTGTTGTCTACTGCTCTGGTAACTGCTGTACCATGCCACAATCGCCGCGAAACATAGAGAGGTGAAAAGGGGACTAGACGCCCCAACCTTTCGCAGCGCACCAACACTGTTGTGCCGCGTTCCCGCGGCAACCCCGTACAGCGGTGACCTCGGCCCAGCAACCCCCTGTTTAGCGTCTGCTAGCTCTGTACAGCGACCACGAAAATCACGTGGCACTGGTTGCACCCCGAGCGATCACCGCTATACCAGCAATGGCGACCTGTTCTCCTGAATAGCGACCGTATTCCCTCCCAACCGACACACGTGCCCGGACACCACTGGTGCTCCGTGTACCTGGCGAAGAGGGAAGAGGCGACGCGAACGTTGTACTGCAGCACCTGAAGCACGGCCACCTCGAGCTCGTTGATGCGCCGCAGAGAGCATCGTCCCACCTTGCTGAAGTCGCAGTTCCACCTGGACCACCACAAGGGCAGAGTAGGATACCATCACCACAAAAAAGACCACCACCAGCAAAAAAAAAACACCGCGGCAGTCGTCGCCCTTGACGATGTGAGAGGCCGAATAACAGGCTTGCTTATCGTGTGTACCGCGGGGCGATTCCCGCTAGCGGGTGTGGTGCGCTTCGCTGCTCGACGTTTTGTTTTGTTGTTTTCCTCTATTTCATGGTGAGAGGGCATTCATGCTCAACTAGGGCGAGCACCCACAAAACAAGAAACGCAAACCGTGTGTATGGTAAACAAACACCCAGCGAGCGACGACAGAGAATCAGTGTTATGCTCGGAACCTACCAAGGCTCGACGGAAAAAAGGTGTCTCATCTTATCTACGTGCGGTGGTGGGAAAGTGCAGCCGAACTTCAGACACACAGGAGCGAGTGCACGACCTCGCTCCTCCCCAAGATGACGCCAGCCTCGAGACGGCTGCTGCAGAAGAACGAACCATGTACTGGCGACTGAATAAGACCTCTTCCTTCCGTGATGACGAGAGCATTTAGCCAGCAGCTCACGCCACAATGAATGCGGCGGGGAAAGGAGGAGACCATGGGCAGCAACACGAGAGCACCACCGCAATGGTGGGAGGAAGACGAACGAGAGGGAAGCATGCAGAGTCGCACGGCAAGGGGCGACACTCACATGGACAGGTCGTCCCATATCTTGGACGCGAGGATAAGACCACATAGCACAACGGACCTGTATTAGGCAAGAGAGAGAGAGGAGAANGGGGGGGGGGGGGGGGGGGGCAATGGGAAAGTGCGGCGCATCCACGGGCCCCCGCCAATACCGCACGACGGACGTCAATAGCAAGAGGGGCCGCCTTCAGGGGACACCGCCTTCAAGACTCGTCAGACGAATAAAATCAATCGCTTGCGTAAGGTCGGTCCACAAAGCAGGTAGCCTTAGCCTTGGCGATAGAGTGCCAAGAGAAGCAGCTGCTGTAGACAAAAAACAACAGCCAGAACACCGCTCGAAAAAGGCGCTCCTGGCTCTTGTTCCCTCAAACTAGGTAAACTTTTTCAGGGAGCGGCGGTGAGGGGGTGGGTTGGGGAATCGATGGTTCGGGGAGAACGGTAAAAAAAAAAATCGTTCCGCAAAAAATCACCACCGCATCCTTCTACTACAAACTCCACGCGTCATCTCCAAATCAAGACGTTTCATTCCGATGTCGTACAGCAGTCTTACAAGAGCTTTTTGTCAGTTGTCACTACCCTCCCCTCCTCCTCCTCATCACCTCCAGTTTTTTCCAAAGATTCGTAGCTTGCCGGCGGTCTCCGTGAGCACTCTCTCGATGTACACCAAGGACATGATCACGCAGTCCTTCTCCAGCTGGGCCGTCTTGAACACGTACGAGTAAAACTCTAGCACCTGCTTGGTCCGGCCGGCGGAGGAAAACGCGTGCGTTAGTGCGTGCGTGAGCGTCTCGATGGGGGCAACATCCCATGTAGGGTGTGCTCTCTATTCGCACAAGACACACAGAAAGAGGGGAGGAGGGGAGTGTCCTAGCAGCGCGTTGTAGTCGGCGTGTTCACATTGTTTTCTACTACGAAGGGGCCACACACCAAGATAAAATCACTGGGCACGACCAGTAGTAGAATCAGCCAGCCATACGTTCAACATGGTGTTCCGACGGGTTTTAACAACAAACAAACCGCCTTGCCTTGGCGAAGGAGCAGTTCGGACGGCTGGTTCGCAGTCCAATACGGTTAAAGATCAGTCGAGGCATTTGGCCAAGTAATTGGGTCAAGCGTTTCGCAGAGCACGCTTACTGACATCGCTGATGCACCGGGCAGTGCTATCTACTCCTAAACTCAAGCGTGGGGAAAAGCAATACCAATCGACCAATCTGCACTGTCACCGGCCGACCACACACCATCTGCATTGCTCAAAAACTTCTGCTAACACCGTGACGCTGATGCTGCTGCTGCTGCTGCTGTTGCTGCTGCTGCTGCTGCTGCTGCTGCTGCTGCTGCTGCTGCTGCTGCTGCTGCGTGGCAAGACAGCCAAGGCACAAATCACTCCCGCTTTACCCGTCACTTGGAGACTGACAGATCAACAACGAAACACCGCCCCCCACCGGAGAAAGCCACATCAGGCAAAATATCACGTTGGTCCTGCCTCGTGGCTCCCTCGACCACGGTGGGGTCGCACATGTGCTAAGGTAACACCAAGAGGGGCAAGTTGAAACCTGCGGGACATCAACCGCAACACGTTTCTCTTCGACCCAGCGCGTTTCTCATCGCTAACCCCATGAGATCCTCTTCGGAAACGTGCCCAAGACAATTGACTGCTGGGTGCGTACACGATGAAAACAAGAACAATACACAACAAGCAACAACGACGCCAACGCGACAGCAACGGTTTCGTGACAACGATTTCGGTTTCAAGTCGCGATCCACTGACAAAAAAAAAAAGATAAAATCCCCCCCCCCAAAAAAAAAGCATCGAACATCGAAGGCAGACGTTGGGAACGTAGAACTAGAAAAGGAGTTCACTGAGGACGAGGTTGAGGCG